AATCGATTTGTTTACAAAGCTTTCCACGGGGTTAAAGTTTCTCAAATAGAAATACACCGTTTAGTGCGAGACACACGGCCAATGAGATCAACCCAAATTTGAGTTCAATTTACGCATAAATCGCAAAAAGTGCAGTGAGTAAATTTGCCTCATGCTTTTCCAGGTTTTCCCAGTACTGATTGGATTCTTTCAGTCGATTTGTACTACTCCTATACTGAGTAAAGTTTTCGTAAATTTTCCTCATTTACTGGCAGATTTTTCAGGTTTTCCACAGAAAAGCATGAGGCAAATGTACTCATTACTGAGTTACTGCACTTTTGGCGACTATGAGTGAATAAATTAAAATTTGGGTCGTTCTCTTTCACCGTGTAGAAATAAGAAATAGCTGATAACTTCGTTCACACGGTTCACACGCTATTTCAAAACTACCCAAATTTGGGTAGCATCTACCCAGATCGATCTAAACTGAACCTACCCAAAAATGGGCAAATTATGTTGTGAGTGACAGGATGGCAAATGGACAACATCGACATGAATCCGGTCGACGTTGCTCATATGTCAACTTGTCATTCTCAATATAGTTTACCCATTTTTAGTTAGGTTTAGTTTTGACCGATATGGGTGGATGCTACCCAAATTTGGGTAGTTTTGAATTAGCGTGCAGAACACCTGTTCAAGCTAGATTACCGAAGTGAAGCAATTGGTTAAGTTGTGTTAGTAAAACCCCTGTACGATACAAGCAAATAAGTACGTTACCTGGGAGGGAGAAGCAGATGGCAGACACGGAAATTATATTATAGCTTGTTCTTCATGTCATGAGCATTTGTGCCATTGAAATCAATTCAAAACAGAAATAGCCTGTTTTGCTTTGAGCGTGTAGTGATTGCATGAGATTGTCCAGTGTGCAGTGAAAACATGTACTGTTCTGTTCTGTATTTTATTATGTCACTAAATATTTTGACAAACACCTTGGTTAATGGTATCTCTCAATATTGATTTGAATATATTCAATGAATGAATTTAAAAAACGATGTCCCATTGAATAAAATAGCTGGGAACGACCGTTTGTCACAAACTAAATTACGCAAGATTCCAATACCACCTTGTGTATTCTTGTTCAACTGTAAGAAAAGCATAATAAAACCAACCGATAGAAACTAACGATTTAAAATAGGCTCACTACTTGACTAGCCTATTGGTCCCAAGCAAATCGATTTACGTACCCCATTCTAGTCGAAATTCTAGTACTACACTATGTTTATTTTTATTCGCTATGAAAGTTTGACAGATAAAATGAGGTTTTCTTGGAGTTTCCTATGTTTCGAGGGGTGCATCGATTAGCTTGGGACCGAAGATAGTACCAGAGCTGAGCCAAAAAGTTGAGCACGTTTCTTCGGGACCTTCTTGTCTTAGAGATACCTCTATGATTAAACTGCTTAGCTCCCAATGACAGTTCGTGACAGCTTGATTCTGGCTCCTTTTGACGTTAATATTTTTCGAGTCTGCTTCCCATGCCATTTGAGTTTATGTTGAAACCATAAATCAAGCTGAACAATGCATTAGGTCCTAAGTAACATTGATCGATTCTCTTCATCGACTTTGTCTTTCGTTAATAACTTGGGTACAGAACAGTTTCTTGTCGTGTCCGCCGTATAAGAAGCTAGATAATAGCTTCTTTCGTCGATCTGTGTGCTGAAAATAGCAGAGAATACCTTAACATGGCCGTGAAGATGTACAGAGACAATCGACGAAGAGAATCCGTCAATGTTACATAGGACCTAATACATTGATCAGCTGGAAATATTTCACGATCTGCTACACACGCTATTTAAAATCTACCCAAATTTGGGTAGAATCCACTGAGAACAGTCAAAACCGAACCTACCCAAAAATGGGTAAACTATGACAAATGGAAAACATAGACATAAATCCGATCGACTTTGTTCATTTGTCAACGTCACTCCCAACATAGTTTACCCATTTTTGGGTTGGTTCAGCTTTGACCGATCTGGGTGGATTCTACCCAAATTTGGGTAGTTTTGAAAAAGCGTGTACTTATCTCTGTATCTCATTGGTTTCGGGATAAGAGGAAGAGGAGACAACTGGCTTCTTTTTGTCTGTGACGTGTTCTTCTTTTCTCGCGGAAACGACCGCGAAAACTATTTCACTCAAAATCAGCGAATCCAAACACATAAAGCAACCAACGATACAGACAAAACGGTTGCTACGACTACCATGACAAACTCGCTCTGTAACAAAGCTCGATCCGAGTGGTAGAAGGATAATGATATATTGCTTGCCTGCTTTGTTGCAATATACACGGATGAGGACATAGCTTGATATGAATCGGGAAAAGACATAACAAAAAAAATCCCATTAACACACGTGTATCATCTTCGGCTTTACTTCGTGAAGCAGCTTGCCAACAATTTGCTCGTTTCCTTCTACCGCCCCGAATGAGTCGGGTCGCACGAGCTGCTTGTCATGAAAAAGAACGGTGAAGATTATATCATTATTGTTTTCAACTTCTGACATAGCGTTATTATTCGGTTCGTTGATCGCTTGTTATTTTGTCATTTGGAGATATTTTTGATTCCTTGCTCAAAATACATGAAAATAGATTTCCTGTTTTTAAAATTCTTGCATATCTATACGTTCGCCCGACCAATCAGGCGCTGGTTTGCGTTTTGATAGAAAATTGGTTCATCAAATACCCCATATTGTCTCCTCTTCCTCTTAGGTTTCGTATGGCTTCTGACAGGACTCATCAATAGAGCTTTTTGACGTTTAATCGGCGCACACTACTGCACCATTTAAATCGAACGAGTGCGAACAAGAGGGAAACAGTTTAGTGGGAAAACAAACCGTCCATTCATCAATGTGTGCTAGAAGAGAAAGACGATTAAACGTCAAAAAGGTCTATAGAGGGCGAGCCACCTTCGATCTTATGGAGCTGATGGAAAATCGACTTTAGAATGTATGGAGAAATGCTTTTTTTTATTATTTATATCGATAGTGGTGCACTTTGTTCGATATATTATTTCCACATAATATTGCTATTACTACAAGGAACAATATATAGAAATTTGGTCATCTCTATTCAGCAAAACTGGTTTCTTTACCACTGGCGAAATCTCTTGGTTTTGATGGATGAAAGTAGTACACATTTAGGTGTTTCATGCTGCTTCTGACAGCACTCACCACCAGTGCACTATGGGCAAAAATGGGTCCAAAATTACCCAAAATTCAATATATCAACAGCACGCTGAATTCCGGCTATGACAAACGACTTTTCCGAAGGGAAATCGTCCGGGGAATCGATTGCACGTAGTCCCATAGACCGGAGAGCCTTGTAGGTATGTGTTTTGGACCATTTTACCCCATTTTCCCTTACTTTTTGGAGGAAATGATTTTCACAGCTCTATTTTTCGTAAAACATAAGCACTTTATGCATGGTTTTAGAATACTATGTATTTAAACAACAGTTCATGAGATATTAGGCGAATACGGGGTACACTTTATATGGGAGTAAGGGGTAAAAGTGAACCCTCGCTAAATTTATTTTAATTCATAAAAATGTTGAACGATGCGATTGTTTGAATGACTCCAAAGGTTGCCTGCAATAATAAGATTTTTTTTTTCAAATTTTTAAGATTAATTGGGGTTAAATAAGTTTTAATTTACTGCTATCTGTTTTAAAAGAGTTTTCACTTTTTTTGTCTGTATACAGCAAAACGCTATAGTGGTTCTCAGAATTTTGAAAAAATTGGTAGTTTTGTTCCTTATCGCAACATATTAGACCCGTATTTTTTATTTTGTCATTAGGGTGTTTATTTATATATTAAGGCGGTTAAAAAAAATTTTTTTTTTCGATATTTTTCAAAAATTTATAACTTTTGAACTGTTTGGCCGATGACGGAACTCAAAATACCAAATGAAAGTTAATTAAAAGTATTTTTCAGAAAAAAATATGATGATATTAAAAAAAAATGATTTTGTATTTAAAAAACATTGATTGTATTTTCACTTTTACCCCTTACTCCCCTATAAAGTGTACCCCGTATTTCCCTAATATCTCATGAACTGTTGTTTAAAGACATAGTATTCTAAAACCATGCATAAAGTGCTTATGTTTTACGAAAAATAGAGCTGTGAAAATCATTTCCTCCAAAAAGTAAGGGAAAATGGTGTAAAATGGTCCAAAACACATACCTACAAGGCTCTCCGGTGAATGGGACCACGTGCAATCGATTCCCCGGACGATTTCCCTTTGGAAAAGTTGTTATTCATGGCCGAAATTCAGCGTGCTGTTGAGATATTGAATTTTGGGTAATTTTGGACCCATTTTTGCCCATAGTGCAGTGGGTGATCAGCCTTCAATCGAAATCGGTAGAGAATCGATTTAAGAATGTATTCACTTTTAATAAAAAATATCATGGTGCAATATGTCCGATATATTATTTCTACATAAAAATCACTAAAAAGAACAACATATAGAAATTTTCTCACCGCTAAAAGCAAAGTTTGAAGAGAAATCGACGGTTTTTCGAAAATCTTCATATCGCAAAACTGGTTCATCCACCACTACTGGCGAGGCGACATCTGTCGGATTTGATGGTGGAAACCTTTACTCAATTCAAGAAATGTTGATCTCAATGAGACCCATTTGTCATGACTTACTTAGTTCCTTTCTCTCTTTCTCTGTTAGCACAGTTCCTAAAATAGACCGTAGAGGGCGTAGATTAGTTCGGGGAACTTTCGATAACCTTTTTTACAAGTAGAGTAGAATTACGTTTCGAACCAACAAACCACAAGTTTTGTGCACTAACGTTGTTTTCTTTTTCTTTTCGGTTCATTCTGTGTTTCTTTCTTCTGTTTCATTTCTGATTTATTGATGAAAACAATTAACAATTCACCACCACCACCACCACAAAAACCACAATCGAAATGCAACACAAAATCACTTTCTTCGTCGGCACCCGCTTCCGAATGGATTCTAGCAGGACAGCACGCACCTTCCCTACCACCACCACCACCACCATCACCAGCACAACTACAGTCACAAAGTGCCCGGCGGCCCACGGCCAACGACGCTGGCTGGCATCGCCACCGCCACTACCAGGACGGCACGTGACGCACAATTTTCCGGCGTCTATCCGCCCAACTACGACCTGGTGCACAACTGCATCCGGACACTGCCCACTGCCCACGGCGACGACGCCGACAACAGCAAGGTGAATGCATTATGCACCCTCACCCACACTTCCTTGCAAATATCCAATATAACACTTGCCTTACAGTAGACTCTTGCTAGACAGAACTTCTGAATTTCGTTTTCCGACCGGTTTTGTAATGGTGCTTGAATTTCCTGTTCAGAGTTCCTATCTCTTTCTCTCTCTCTTTCTCTTGTACGTAGCGTATCTTCATAGGCCAATATTGATATAACCAGCTACTTTATGTGCCTTTCGAGGAGTGCTTGCAGGCTGATGTTCATGCCTGTACCTCGATGTAACGTAACTGTCACTTTTGACTTCCATCGTCAATATTTCGCTAATAACAATTGGATCGTACAAATTAGTAATACCATTACTTTGCTTCTTTGAACGATCGTTTACGAAAAATCAACGATGGAAGTCAAAAGTGACCGTTACGTTGTATCGAGGTTTACCTGTAATCCGATTGTACAGTTTTGTGTTGCTTGTTTTAAACTCTTTATAAGCTTTTGATTTCATTTCAAGTCATGTTTTATTATGAAAAAAAAATCAAACTTTGGTTTCCGTTGTGTTAGACTAGTTTGCGTTACTAAAATCTAGTAGAATAGAATGTACAAAGATATGACTTGATTAAATATCGTATTGTACTTATTTATATAAAAATTTCATAGCATTCTTGAAGTTCAACATACCGGAATCCCCGCATAGCACGGTGTGTGGAGCAGTCCATCCATCGGGTGTCCTCCAACCAATTGAGCTGACACTTTTTTGTGATTAGTGTAAATTATAAACTATTCACCTACTCCATCCTCAATCGGTTGGAGGATAGCCGATAAATAGCGGTGCATTTATCGGAGGATTCCAATAGTGCGCATAATATAAAACACTCTAGTAAAAGTATGGACGGCAGTCACCACAAAACTGATTAAAAAGTTGTTCCAATCGAGTAAAGCAGTGTATTCGAACAACTTTTGACAGACGTCAACACATTTACTTAGATGACTTAAGCTTAATAGCGAAGACAACATATCAAGAAGACTGGCAGCTTTGCCTGATTCCAAGCGACAGACGCCAACAATTAATACGAAACTATCGATTTGAAATTGGCTCACTACTTGACTAGCCTATTGGTCCCAAGCAAATCGATTAACGTACCCCATTCTAGTCAAAATTATAATACTACACAGTGTTTGTTTTGATTCGCTATGAAAGTTTGACAGATAAAATGAGGGGTTATTGGATTTTCCTATGTTTCGAGGGGTGAATAGATTAGCTTGGGACCGAAGAGAGTACCAGAGCTGAGGCAAAAAGTTGAGCACGTTTCTTCGGGACCTACTAGTCTTAGAGTTACCTCTATGGTAACACTGCGCTCGAGCGAAGCGCATACAAAAAATGAGCAAATACACAAACCTTTCTTCTGAGGATGGAACCTTTGCTATTCAATTCTAAAGGAGCATTTACCTTTGAGCGGCAGATGACGCGATTGTGCCTGTCTCATACCGGTTGTATGAGAAACAGGAAGAGTTGCCAGTCTTCTTGATATGTTGTCTTCGTTAATAGGGCCCACGCTAATGAGCAGTTCTAGGCCAAATAGCGAAAAAATTAATAAATTTTAGATGTTACCTCTGAGAATTCCATGAAACTTCGCATAATTGTTCGCTAGAGCCAATGGACCAAATTAACGCTCTAAATCAGCCATTTTTGTCAAATTGCGTCGATGTTTTTCAACAAATCATAGCACGAAAGCAGCTCATCGAGTCGAAATGACTTCTGATACAAGGTTCTAGGAAACTGTATTGCCTTTGCCGATGAACATTTCAAATCTCAATGAACATTTCAAAAGGTCCTATCTGCTTTGATCGATTCTCTTCATCGACTTTCTCTTATGATAACCACGCCTACGCAAACATATTTTGTGCTCTTTTTGCCACACAGTTTGATAGCAGAAGTTATTGTCTTGCGCTTAGAACTTTGAACACAGCAAGGAATGCTTTTGAAATTGAGTTATTAACGAAAGAGATAGTCGATGAAGAGAATCGATCAACGCAAATAGGACCTTTTGAAATGTTTATCTAGAATGGTCCTATATGCTTTGATCGATTCTCTTCATCGACTTTCTCTGTTGATAACCACTGCTATGTAAACAGATTTTGCGCTAATTTTACCACACAGCTTGGTAAAAGAGGTTCTTATCTAGCGTCCAGAACATCAAATACAATAGGGAAATGTTTTGCAGCTGAATTATTAACGAAAGAGAAAGTCGATGAAGAGAATCGACCAATGCAGGTAGGACGTTTTGAAATGTTCATCTAGAATTTATTTATTCTCCCACTATGTAGCGCTAGTGTGTATGTGAACATTTTGCATATGCTGTACCTTGAGATCCTGACCCATCTAGGAGGTTGCTGTCTTGGGCAAAGTTGTTCAGGTGACAAAGACCTGTTGGATCATCCAGAGCATCTCGTTGGTAACCATGAACGAATCATCCATGTGGACATGCTCATCGTCATCTTCACCAAAGACATCATCCAAAATTAAACTGTGACGAATTGATTTCCTCCGTCATCCATTCCGTCTCCAGTATGGATGGTGATTCGAGTTTTGGGATTCTTGTTCAACAGCAATTCTTCGTAGGATTGCATGATTTTCTCAACGTCCACGAATGGGTTCTCGAAGAACATCAACACATACAGTTTCACACCGAGAGCCCACATTTCTAGTTCTAGGCTGGGTTGCCTGCCAACACTTCCGGACTCCAGTACTCGGTCGTGTCGTAGAAGGTAGAAAAAAGTTGCCCTTCCTGTACGAAGGTCGCCGATCCGAGGTCAATCCGCTTGATATGGAAATTATGATCGATGATAACGTTCTCGTCTTTGATGTCCCGGTGCAGAAACCTAGTGCAGGAAAGCAACCGCATTAGCAATCTGTCATCACGGATACGGATAAACTCGAACAGATCCATCCCGGAGCCGTGGAATTCCATCACAACCTGGAAGAACCTGTAGTTCTCGAACCTGTTTTTCTCATGCGTCAACACAACACTGGTACACTTCCATCGGAATTTCCCGCTTCTCCTCGGTCTTAATCATAAACTGCGGCACGAGCTTCTCCTTCAGTATTAATTTCGATATCACCAGCAACCTATCCGAGTTCCGATAGCTTAGCTTTACATACCCGTACGCGCTCTTCCCGATGTTCCTCACCAGTGTGTAATATTTGCTGTACTCTCCGTTGATTAAATCTTCATCACACTGGAACATACGGGAGACGGAACTGGGCCGATTCGAGTGCTTCACAGCAGCAGTATTCTCAACCAGTGGAAACTAACGATTTTAAATTGGCTCACTATTTGACTAGCCTATTGGTCCCAAGCAAATCGATTAACGTACCCCATTCTAGTCAAAATTCTATATGTTTATTTTGATTCACTATGCAAGTTTGACAGATAAAATGAGGGGTTCGTGGATTTTCCTATGTTTCGAGGGGTGCTTCGATTAGCTTGGGACCGAAGATAGTACATGAGCTGAGCCAAAAAGTTGAGCACGTTTCTTCGGGACTTTCTGGTCTTAGAGTTACCTCTATGGTATTCTTGTTGGTCTGCCCAAACGAATTGTCCACCATACTGGTCACACTGTTGAACGTCAACGTAAGATTCTGATACTTATCTTCATCCTCCAGGTTGTTACTTATCCTCAGCCTCCGATGCAGTAGACCTTCCTCCCGCAGGGAAGCGTCTGATTCAAAATGGTGTACTGTATGTCGATCACGTTGCCGTCGTAGTGAATCGCCTCCCGGACGTACTTCCCATCCGAATAGATCGACCTGCGTGGTGCCCACGGAATCGGAAGCTTTCCAACGGTCGAATGTCGTTTCTGTTGATCTGACCTTTACGTGACCACACAGAAAAAAAAAAGTTGTTGAATATTACATCCAAACTGATGCAACCAGGTCAATCCATCGGTTGTGTAATATAACGTTGTACGATGTACATCGATTTTGCGAACAAAATTACATCCATTGATGTAAAGGGTGATACGGTCAAAATTTGGTCAATATCAACTTGACGTATTTCTTTCAATTTTGCATTTAAAAAACCTGAACACCCCTCATTTTGAAGGTGTGTGTGTGTGTAGAATGTTGCTCCTATTTTGATTTTGGAATTCACTCTTCAGTTGTCAAAATGCCGTCCAAGCAAGAAGAGCAGCGTATCAAAATTTTGCTCGCGCTTCGCGAAAACCCGAGCTACTCGCACGCAAAGTTGGCAAAATCGCTAAAAGTTGCCAAATCAACCGTTACAAATGTAATTAAAGTGTTTGGGGAACGTTTGTCGACAGCCAGGAAGTCTGGATCGGGGGGAAATCGAAAACCGGAAGCCGCAAAGAGAGTTGCCGGTAGTTTCAAGCGAAACCCTAACCTCTCTCTCCGAGATGCCGCAAATAAGCTGGGTGTATCGTCTACAACCGTGCATCGAGCCAAAAAACGAGCCGGACTATCGACTTACAAGAAGGTAGTGACTCCAAATCGCGATGATAAACAAAATACGACGGCCAAAGCGCGATCCCGGAGGCTGTACACGACGATGCTGACGAAGTTTGACTGCGTGGTAATGGACGACGAAACCTACGTCAAAGCCGACTACAAGCAGCTTCCGGGACAGGAGTTTTATACGGCAAAAGGAAGGGGAAAGGTAGCAGATGTTTTCAAGCACATGAAACTGTCAAAGTTCGCAAAGAAATATCTGGTTTGGCAAGCCATCTGTACCTGTGGCTTGAAAAGCAGCATTTTCATAGCTTCCGGGACTGTCAACCAAGAAATTTACGTGAAAGAGTGTTTGAATAAACGTCTGCTGCCTTTCCTGAAGAAACACGGTTGTTCCGTACTGTTTTGGCCGGATTTGGCATCTTGCCATTACGGTAAAAAGGCCATGGAGTGGTACGCCGCCAACAACGTGCAGGTGGTTCCCAAGGACAAGAACCCTCCCAACACGCCAGAGCTCCGCCCAATTGAGAAATACTGGGCTA